CAACCCCCCCCCCCCCCCCCCAGTAATATGGTTAAATTCAGACCACACAGTGATAATTAAGCCTCCCCGATAGCCGGCGAATAGTTTGTTTCTACCGGCTGATTTTTTGCTTCCCCGGTCGCAATCTATTATGACTTCTACAAGACCTTATGTATTTCGTTTTTCATATTTGTTAAAGAAGCAACGACGAAAGCAAAATGCGGAGAGTCCAGGTAATCAATCTCGCCAAAAAGTGTAAATCGTTTAATTCTTCTCTCTACAGCAGTATGTAAAGCCCTATCCGGTATGGTTTTCGTGCCGGCGAAAAAGTACCCTGCGAGCAGAGGCTACATTTTCGCGGTATGAGATGGCGAGCGAAAAGTAGCCTCTGCCGACAACCGTTCAAATCCTTCCAGAAATTCGGACGAATAAATTTAAAAATCGGGTTTTTACCTGTCCTTGACCAGTTTAGAGCATTGCGTGAGTCTTGCGTCAGCGAATGAACGCTGACCATTATTGCGCCTTCATGCATCCTTTCCCGCCAAATTTTCGCATGCGAACGCGGCTCTTTCTCAAGCGTGGCAACGGAAACAGTTCAAAACACAATTTAAAAAATCCCTGTTTATGTATTTAGAAGAGCGTCGTCAACGTGAGAAAGCACGGAAAGTTCAAAAGAATCATTGAGAAGTTTTCTTTTAGTGGAAAAAGAAGAAAAGAAGATTTTAGCTGAACAACGATTCGCCCTCAAGGACTTCAAACAGGTTGGTTAATCTTCACTGTGGAACGCTTGTCCTGTTCTGAAAAGAAGCCAAAGCGGTAACGTTTTAAAAGATTTTGAGGTAAAATTTGCACTTTAATGGTCAAGGAAATTCCGTTTTTAAATGGAAATTTAAGTGTTTATAGTTTTGTCATAGATGTTTTATACGATTTGAGACGGATTTTGGCGTTGAGATTTGATGTCTTCGGCCGCTTTTACTTGCGTGAAATGATCCACGACCCAGTTAGTGTTACGCGAATTGCTTTTGAGGATAAAATTATGGGTTTTCGAATAAACTTTTGCGATAAATAATTTCTCTGACTATTGCTTTGTCTATGTTCATTCATAAGATTAGTTTAAAACCCAATCGTGAGACTACAGCATCCAATTTATTTCACGCATCACTTCTGCGTAGGGTTGTCGGCGAATTTCATTTTTCACTTTGAGCAAAACTATGGTTTACTGGTAAGGCTTGCTATAGACTAAAAATAAGAAAATTTTCAATAGCTCATTTGCACCTTCAGTTAACTGCTTGAATGGTCATGAAACCACTGTTTTTTGAAATGAAAACTTAAAACGCGCCGGTGGAATAGTCGTTTATGAGTTAAACCAGCGTTCCATAAAACGTTTCAGAACATTTTTCCAGCTTTTTATATATAGCATCAATGCGTCTGTAGCAATTTTGACAAAGCCGTTAAGATCGTTTAACTCTAGCCAAGAGATCATAATATGATCTCTTGCTGTGGCTTAAAAACTTCTTTAACATGAGTGTATTACCTATACCAATAAGCCGGAAAAAAAACTGCCGCTTGGAGTTAAATGTGCTCCCCTCAAATCAGACAGGACTTGCTACAGTTGGTAGCATAATGCTTTCTCAATAGACAATCCCAGGAAATTTTGCGGCTAAAATACTTAAAACCAGACGGGCAAAGCAGAAAAACAGAACAAAAGCTCGAGGAGAGTTGTTGGCCAGTAGTTTTCGCAACTTTGATTCCCTCGAAACTCACGCAGATTTGACGAACCAGTTGCTTGCGAATTGCGTGACGAATTTTGCGCATGCACGATAGAAAATTGAACGGTTGTCAGCAGAGGCTACTTTTCGCACACCATTTCATACCGCGAAACCTCTGCTTGCAGGGTAGCGAAAAAGCTGAACACCTATCCGATATGTGACTCTTCACTTTAGAGATCGGCGCTGCGCAGATTCTCTCCGTTACAGAAATCGCGCCGAAATCCCCGTTGTTATGTGTGAACAGAAGCCCTATCCCGTATGGGTTTCGTCCCGACGCAAAAGCTACCCGGCATAGTGTCAACATAACCTAAAACTCTCTTTTTTCAGCACGCTGTTTAAAGGTCTTTCAGTAAAAGCCGTCCCAGCGCCAGTTTTCAGGATCTCCATAGAAAGGGGAATTCAAAAGAGTTACAAAAACCAACACCCCAAGAGAGTAATATCGTTGTATTGCCTTAAGGACGAAAAGCCACTGGGCCTTGGATATTTTTTAATTGCACATGGGTTGTTTTCAATTAATACGATAAAAGTCATCCTGACGCGGAAATGTTCTTAATGCGTTATCGGCTTATCCTCCAGAGCATAATCTACCCGTCAGGGAAAAAAGAAAAAAATTATTGGAACAAACAGCATTTTGGAATGAGGTAAAAGTGTGTTGCCTACCGACCCCCTTTTTAACACTAAGTAATCGGCTCCTGCTTATGCATGATTGGTTGCTTATTTTGACACTATCGCGTTCTTGACTTTTTTCATGTGGTGGATTGAACAGTATAGTAAACTGACGTCATCTTTTTAAGGCGTCTGTCCTGTTATCGTTGATAAAGTACGTCATAAACTTTGAAAATGTTACGAAGAAATTTAGCATCTTTAAGAAAACATCACGCCCAAAGAAGTGACGTCATTAATTTTAGAAACAAAAGTCAAAGAGAGCAAAGTTAATCTCACGTCAAGGGAAAAGATTACACAAAAGCCGCAAGCTAACTTCAAACAATTTATGAATTTTATGCTCAACAAATGAGGTAATCATTATTTTGTAACTAAGTTTATTGTCGTCAGTAACATTGGAAAAGATGTTCGAGATAGCGCGTCAGCGATACGAAGTTAAGGGTGAAGCCCTCGCGATACTCTACCCTGAAGCTGTACAGCATGTTTTGCAGACGACAGGGAGCAAGTGCTAAGGAACGTTTGAAATCGCCTCCAAGGGCTTATGATTTGTATGTACTTTGATGTCTCCTTTGCCAAAAAGCAATTGATCAAACTCATGGGAGGCATGAAAGATAGTCAAGGTCTCTTTCTCTATTTATGCGTATTTCCGTTCTTTGGGAGTAAGAGAACTAAAACTGTAGACAACAGTTTGTCACTCAATTCAAGAAAGGTTTGGTGACACTAGGTTCGATTCTCCTCATATGCATAGTGCTTTTTAATCCCCAACAAATACAAACGCATAAAAAGATCTCGTGTCAGCCTGGTCGACGGCCCAGCTCAATTTCCATTTTTCTTTCTCCCGCGTTTATTTACAGGTTAGGAATTTTTATTACAGCAAGGTTTATGTTCTGATGCCCTTTTTACTGTCAGCCCACTTCAGTTATAAACAGTAAGGGGTTAAAGCCGTATGCCCAGCCTTTACCCATGGGAATAACTTTTGTCAAGATCAAGCACCACTACAATGATGTGCCAGAGAGAATGGCCTGATAGAAGGTGACGGCCGTACGCCCATGAATGATAAGGACATGGGATAACAGAGAAAAAGTGTTTGTTTTGAGCAATGCGTTTATTCAACTGAATTTCTACAATTTCTTCCTGTTTTTATAAGCGTTTTAAAATCCTTTGATTTTTATCGGGCGTGAACTGGAACCAGGTTGTTTGACACTCATTGCACCAAGATGTAGCCCATGGCTCTAATATCTCTACCGCCATTGTCTGGATGCCAAGTTACCGATGCAACGTTTCCACAGGTGTTGCGACCATTAGGATATCCTCCAGTGCCAAACCCAATTCTGGAGTCAGGGGAAGCACAGTCACTTTCATCGTTACTTATGATACCGATTCTTGCTTCGCTGTGGTGATCTGCCGACTTTAAATTGAAACCTTCCCTGTTACAATGTGTCTGCAGCGAAGCCCCTTGGCCAATCGGCTTCTTCCAGGTGTGACGACCCAGTTTCTTCGTTAAGCGTTTCTCAGTTCCGTCAGCGATCAAGGCGTACAATGAACTGGCGGTTTTGTTGACAACGATCGAATTAACTTGGCTGCCGATCTTCATAGCGAGGCAAATCTTAGAGAATGGTGTGCTCCAGTAGGTGGGTAATTTTGTCTCTTTTGCCTCTTGATCAAGCAGGGTCTCCCCTCCCAGGGGATTGAGTTCGTTCTTGTTGGTCCACAATTTGGAATCGTAATGAAAGGTGTCCTTAACGAATAAAGAAATGATAATAATACATCGTCAATTAACAGACAGTTATCGCATGACATCGTGGCGGTCACATAATTATTCAATTTGGTCTTGCGCCCTGAGGGACAATTACATCAGGCCTGATTTTGGCGAGATTCCTCCAAACATTTCGTGACGTGATGACGGTCAACGGCCGCCATCTCGGTTTTAATAAGGAAGGCCAGTGGAACTGAGGCTTTGTCAGTGACTGGCAATACGACTGATCAATATAAAGCGAATCCTGTGTTCTGTGCCCCGTCTGGATTTCCCGCTTCGTTCTCACGAGATTAATTTCCTTTTGGCCATGTAATAAATCCTTGATTTACCAAATGTTCGGTCAAGATTGCTGGTACTGGGCTGGTTCTTATATGCGTTTTTATGGACCTTAACTTGGTCTCGGTTCACAAAAAAGCAACTAAAAAAAGACTTTTTTGAAAGTCTACCACATTGGCCTCCTGATTTGTCAATAAAGCCGAAATCTTCGTTGTTTAGAAGTTAAAGAAATATTTTAATAAAATAATAAAACAAAAAAATAGGTGGACGAAGATGTCATCCGCCTCGGCATTCAGCCTCAGTAACAACCGCATACAACTGCATACAGTTGAACCTCTCTACAGGGGCCACCATGCAGTGGGAACAGAAGAAAGTGCCCTTTGTGGAGAGGTGGCCGTTATGGGGAGGCAAGGGTAGTATATGACAGTATATTTTTTAGGGAGTACAAGTTCATGTTTATCGTACATGTGTCCCATAATCATGGTGATCCAATCGTATAAAATGTATAGAGATAAAATACACAAAAAGCTTGAATTATGTATTGGATCAAAATTTAACGCGACAAAACGAGCAAGGTTGGCAACATTCGCTAGAAGTATCGTAGAAAATATTTGCTTACTGCGCAGCAAAATGAAACACAATCAATTGAAAATACGATTGCCGTGATTGATCATAAAGAAACATGCCATGTGACTGGCATTCTTGACTCTTTAATCCGTCGAAACTGGCTGTTGTAGATACAGTTCTGTCGCTATCTCGATAGTCCCTTTGTAGCTAGTCATCCTCATGTAACGAAACCGCCATGTTGGCTGGAGAGTAAAGGACACACTTGGACAAAACAGACAAGAGGCTCACATCATCTAAAATGGTAATCTCCTTTGTTTTTCTTTTCCCTGAGTGCATCAAGGCGGTTTTTTTCACTTGAACGACTAGCTACATTAAGTGCATATTCTGACTGGTTAGAAGAAGATTGCTAATGCTAGCTGGCAATAGTTTCGCTGCGTCACTCTTGCAGACAAAAGTTTGTAAATACATATTAATTACATGCAAAGTGACGTCATTTTGCTGATAATTGCTGGTTTGCAGGTGACATCACGGCAGCCCTGTTGGTGGTCAGAACAAAAGCATTTCTCTCCTCTGCGAACTAAAATCCATTTTCAGGTAAATTCGTTACTAACCAAGAATGGTTTTCGTACGACATCCCTTGACAAGATGGCAATAGTTGGGGGGACGATATTTAAGTTGATCTTGTTACTTTTAATTAAGTGGGCTTTCGCTATTAATCTTTTTTGTAATCTAATGTATAAGATTGACCTGGAACTTTCAGATGGTAAACGACTATAGTCAATGCAAAAAGTTGTGAGCAAATTGATTCATGACGTTAAATGTTTTATTTCATGTGTGCCTTTTGACTGATACTAAGATCAAGAATTCAACGTGTGTCTGAACAATAATTAAGATCGATCGGTTTTTCCAGTTGGTTGAGCATGATAGCGAGAATTATCAAGGCTAGAGTTATCTGCCGACAACGAAGCCTTCTTGATAATTCTTCCTATTATATCGTGTGATTATAGTTTTTGTTGTTGAGGGGTGAGCGGCATAAGTGTCTGCCGCTTTGAAAAATAGTTATAAATTTTTGACGCAACTTTTAGCCTAGAATAGAATGTTCTTTGCTTGCTGCTGTTACCTTGTTTCCATTGATCTTCATGACCAGCGTCCATCCACCTCCTCCGCATGCTTCAAGGTCAGCTTTTACCATGTGACAGTACACAGAAATTTGTTCAGAATTAACATTCAGTGTGTAGGCTTTGTTTTCATGCCCCCTATTGAATGGATATTGACATAATGAGGGAAATTGTTCCAGTCTTTAACCGACTGTTTCATTCCAATGTTGACAACTCCTTAGAAACGTGATAAAAAGTTGGAAACAGCTCGATAAATTTCTTTAAGATTTAAAATTCTCACTAGTTTTCTACTATATCTAATTTAATAAGTGTGGTGAACGTTTTCCGAGATCTTTGTCAGTGGCGATGTAGTATAATGCTCGTACTTGAAAGACACTGTCCCTTTAAACCAGTGGAGTTCCCTGATGTATTTTAGAACGACAACACTAACCCACATGCATGAAGTTACAGCTAATCTGGGCGTCTAGTTATAATATAGGCAGAAAAATCCCTCGTATTAGTCTGAACCTCAAGAAAGATACTATGATATGAGAAAAGTTGGGTGTTCTATGACGAAACCAAAAAAAGTAATAATAAATGTTGCTACGTTATTACTTATGCTTTACTCACGAATCCGCATCGTAAATGTCCTTGCAACTCAAAGTCGTTTGTCCGCTACCTGATCCACCTAGTAAGTAAGTAAATAAGTAAATAAGTAAGTAAGTAAAATATATATATATATATTTTACTTACTTACTTATTTACTTATTTAGTAAGTAAGCAAGCAAGCAAGTAGGTAAGGAAGGAAGTAAGAAAGAATGGAAAATGGAAGGGAACATTTAAATTCAGTAGAGTTTTGCATCATTGCCTTATTTTTTTACAATAAGAATTCTTTTAACCGTAGGATCTGGGTACGAGGGGGGGGGGGGGGGGGGGGGGGGGGGGGGGGGAGGGTGGATGCCACCCCTTAAGGTTTTTCTGAGATTTTTCCCAGAGGATAAAACATCAACACCTGACGTTTTCGGTAGCTGTTTGTTCATCCTTTGGGCACATTTTGAGACAAGTTTAGTGATGGTCAGTTGCTATGCTCACGAGATATGACTGCAAATTAAGAGTTAATGCTGAATTATCAAACCGTAGATCTGTTAAGCATCATAATATGCCGTACACATTCCTATTTTGTCGCTGCTTTTATCATTTCAACCTGATTCACCCCACGTAAACCCGAGAAAAGAAGAAGACAGTTTTAAAGTATACCTTTCAATAAGCATATCTTGAAGTGCTCGGTGGTATATTTACCTAAAACACACTTGTAAGATCCTTTATTGTTTTTGCACTCTGAAATATCGGTGTTACATAGGTGGGTTCCAGTCTTACACTCGTTTATGTCTGCAATCAAGAGTTAAGGCTGAATAATCAACTGACTTTGTTCGACTTTAATGCAGACTCTGTTTTACATGTTGCACACTTGGAACGCTTTGGCTGGGGGAGTTTAGCCTGCGAAAAAGAAAATTTTGGCGGCTCGAGCACGCAAAGCCAGCAAGAAAATAGAGCTAGGAAATGCACGCGCCAAAATGTTCCTCGAACTCGCACATGTGAGCCTGTTTGCAGGCTACGGAGATCTGGAGGCTGCAACTACAGTCGAACCTGTATTAAGCGGCACCGTATTAAGCGATCACCCTCTATTAAGCGGTCAGTTTTCTAAGTCCTGAAAATCACTTCTCTTGATGTACTGTAATTTCGACCTCTATTAAGCGGTCGCGGTCACCATTTGCGAAGTCCCAACGAGACTTTTTCTATTGTCTTAACCTGTATTAAATGGTCACACGGTGTTCATACAGTTTCAAATAATGTAACACACGAGGTACAACAATTGATTTCCTTGTTTATTTTTGCAAACCATTAAAACGCCGGAAATGAATGTTTCTATTTGAGGTCAAACGTCTGATCTGATCAGCACTGGAGATAGAATTCTTTGAACTATATTTCTTGCAACCTGTATTAGGCGGTCACCCTGTATTAAGCGGTCACTTAGCCATTCTCCGAGGGTGACCACTCAATACAGGTTCGACTGTAACACCAACATTTATCGTCGACCAGTGGGGTGTTTGTTGGTGATGGGGAAACTATTCTTGGTAAGCTACTATGTTATGTGGTGTGGATATTGTTCAGTGTCTTTTTCATCTTTTGTATTACGTCATTTTGTGATTGCACCAGTCCACAACACCAAGAAACTACCGATCTGTGACACACCACGACTAAATATGAAACCGGTTTCCAGCTTTCTGATTGGCTCTAATATTTATGGTATGGAATAGTATAAAACTAAAGATGAAATGCTGTTAGTTTAAGTTCCGTATGGTTTGCTACCTGCACAGTTAACACCATCCCCAGTATATCCTGGATTACAAGTACAAGTGAAGGAACGCTTGGTGTTGGTGCAGTATGCATCATCGTGGCAGTTATGCTGTCCTGTTTTACACTCATCTACAAATCAGCAAGTGGAAGTTAGGTACGGAATTTGACGTAAAGTGATCCACCGACAAAGTCAGTTTTCACTTTTAGCCGATCAAGAGTTGTTTAAATTGTTTATTTGCAACAGTTCAACTGAGTTCAAATTATTGTAATCTATGAATACTCTTCGTTCAATGTCACCTACCACGGCGTGATTTACTAAACAAGTTTGTTAAAGGGCTTGGAACGTTAGTCTCAAAACTTCAATCAAGAAACTTTGCACCCCTAAGGACGCATCGTATAGTGCTGCCTCAAAATATCTGTTCTTCAGGCCAATTTTTGCTGGCTGGGAGATGTGGAAGAAATAATGTCCTTGGAAGGAAAGTGTTGCTAAGAAATAGTTACTATGTGTTATGGATCAGAAACCCCTCCCCCACCCCCACTTCTGAGGGGTGAATTTTGCCCTATGACCACACCAAAACTGGCCAGTAATGTCTGGACATACGTCTGCTGGGAAACTTCCAGTAAGCCAGGTTGTAGTTTGTAGGTGCGCTCACACCTTGCTGGCTAGGAACTCTTCCATCAGTCTTCCTGGGAGTGAGGAACAGATTTATTTTTGGTAGCAATCTCTCAAAATGCTTAAAATGGCTCCAGAAAGCTTTATTCACGCTTTGTTGTTGTTTTAAAATTTCCCGTTGGGTGCCCTTGTACACTGTCCAGTGAATTCCGGTTTTGCATCCGCGCCAGCGGGGTGGGGGGGGGGGGGAGGGGGGGGGGGGGGGGGGGGGGGTACTCCGGATTTCAAGTGATAGGAATAGAATAGAATAATTCTTTATTTAAACACGGTAAAATTCATCAGGAGTATAAAAAATCTTAAATAAACCTAACTACCCTAAACAATATGCAAAACTATAATTAACCTAACTAAGCCCTGCTTCTCATGAATGCCGTGTACACAGTACTTAAAAAATCAGAAATTCAGAGGAGCCAATCGTTTAAATTGACTTAAAGATTTAGAAACAATACCAATTAACTGCACTGAAGCACACTTACCAACTCCCCGTTATGGCCAGTACCTTACGCATGCACACAAGCATATCACCCCAGCAGTGGCAGCCATGGACAGCTGTCTCGCCCTTATTGGGGCTCATGGTTGTGCGCATGAGTAAAGTACTGGCCATACCGCGGAGTTGATACGTGTGCTTCAATGCAGTTAATTGGTATTGTTAAAAATTAAGCCCTCTCAAATCACTTCTGCGCTTGACTGAAGCTGTTCTTCATGAAGTTAGTTCCCACTCAGTTTGTTAACAGAGTCCCTTATGGAGTAGCGCGTTTCACATCGTTTAACAATTTAGAGGATAAATATCCTGGAACAAGATCATTTAAAGACTTGTGAACCATTAGGGCTTTTTGTATTTGAAACTGAGTGCTCAAGTCTTTCCAATTAAGTTGTCTGAATAAGCGGTTGGCATCAGCATCATATCTAGAAAAGGTTAGAACACGAGCAGCACGGTTCTGAAGCTTCTGTAGCCTGTCAAACAAAGTTTTTCCACTATTACCCTAGACAATATCACTATAATCGAATTGAGATTGAATGAGGAGCGTTGAGTATACAATGGAGAGTAGGCGTTGGAACAAAAGCTCTAAGGATCTGTCCCTTGAAATCCGGAGTACACCCCCACCACTCCCTCCCTCGGGTATCCGAGTGGGATTTTCGTCCAACGAGCGACAACGCTTCCAACTCCTTAAGTTATTTTTACTTGAACTTAATTATTCATCCCATGGTTTTTTATCACTCACCTAAACAACTGATTTCAATCTCCCTCATGATCTCTTCCATTTCTTCTCTGTTTCTTTCCTGCTCTTTAATTATCTCCTCTTCTTCTTTAAACATCAGAAGGAGACAAACTGCGAAACAGCAAAACAGTAAATGAACAGTAATTATAAATCCGTAAGTAGGTGGAGCATGATCGTCAGGGTGTAGTCCTGAATAGGACTGTGTCGTGTAGTCATCTTCATAGTCAAAGTCGTTTGTTGTTACAGTCGTTTATTGTTAGTCAAATTGTCTCTTGCCCATAAAGTCACTCCTGTTTTTGTCAATTTTACTTGAGTCCGCCATAACTCGTTTGTACCGTGCCCGTTGACTGCCATTCCAGTGGCTTTTGGTCTAATTTAGTAAGCCAGCTTTCTAAGACGAGTACTAGTTATGGTAGTCTGTAGAATGCGCCATATGTGTCGCAGAGTCCCGGTCGATTTAATGTTTCGTCTGTAAATGGTGCATGTTCAGCAATAAGAAGTGTGATTGTTGACATCACCATTTCTTGTCGCTGGATCGTCACTGTTAAACTGTGACAAAAGACCGATCGAAACGACCCGAGTCTTCACAGAAAGCCAATAACAACACGGCTTAACTGACACAAGACCAATCACATCGAGACTTAATTAACCAATCAGGTCAATAACCAGAGTACAATACAGATATCAATATTGACGTTTTCGTAACCGTCGCCGTCGTTGTTACTTTATAAGCCCCCTATGATAAGCTCCATATTATAAACCTTCGCCACGGTAGTATAGGAAAAGGAATAATTATAATTTTATAACTATAGCAAAATGATAATAATAATAATAATAATAATAATAATAATAGCACGATTTTCTAAGATACAAATTCATTTAAAATCTATTAAGAAAGTAAAACAGAGGATCAGTCTTGAACGAAGGTGTATGGCTAATTTTGAAGTCTTGATCGCACATTTTTTATGTGTAAAAATCACTATTTCATTTTTTTTGACTTCAGAATGATTTTTTGACAGCTTTCTGTATATGAAACAACAGCAGGGTGCTTAGACATAATGCCTACAAACAGGTGCGCAATAAAATTTTGGTCCTGATGTCATTAGTCATTACCTCCATGGTTTACAACTTCCTGTGCCATCATCACCATTGGGAACATGATAAAAGAACTCATAACTATCAATGTTGTCACGTCAGCCATCGTCCAAGCTTGTTAAAATAAAATAATATTAAATAATCTTCAGAGTACAAGTTCGTTGGTGAAGGCGAACCGATACATAACCACGAGTCGGGTTGGGAAGAGGAGGCCCTGGAAAATTGCGGTGAGGCTGTGCGCCATAATCTAATTCCTAAATCCCTTACCCTATTACACGTCAAAAAAATGCGATTTTCATTACTCTGTTCTACTTCAGGTTAAAACTGGGGATAAATTCTCTCG